CTCTTGTTCAATTGACCCTTTAACCATGAGATCATGTCCTTCTTTGTCTCTTATGCTGGTTTTTGCCATAAAGTTTATTTTGTCAGAGATAGTATTGCCACTTCTGCACATGTTTTATTGCAATTAGCTTGGTAAATTTTTTTCCATACTTTAATTTTCCATCATTTTTGTATTTGTGTGTAAGTTGTGTCTCTTGTAGAGAGTGTATTGTCCTGTTTTCTTATCCATTTTGCCACTCTCTCTCTCTCTTTTTTTCTTTTCATTCTTTGTTTCTTGACATCCAGTGTAATTATTGATAGGTATGAATTAATTGCTGTTATTATGTTGTTTGTTCTTTCTGTGGTGCTGCTGGTTTCTTTGTTCTGCATGCCTTGTGCTGTGTTCATTTTTGTGTGTTTGCTGTTTCTTGTCAATTTCTTCATTGTTTTAAACTTTCCATAATGTTCTTGGACATTTCTTTTGTGGCTTTGATATAGAGATGTATTAAGTTTCTTTGAGGTTGCCCTATGTTTTATAAAGTTCTTCCTCTTTTTGTGACAATCTGTTTTATTCTAAGATCTACCTAACTTCACCTCCTGGATCTCTGCTATTGTACTTTTCCCTTTTTTATTTATTTATTTATTTTTTGCTTTTTAGTTGTTCTGATCATAGATTGACCATCCAGATCCCCTTAATTTTCATTCTTGTAGTTTTGTTCTGCTCTGGACTCTTCCATTTCTGGATTGAGTTCTGGGTGGTGTTGCCACATATGTCAGTCTTTGGCTGTTGTCTGCTCTTGTTGGTTCTTAGTCCAAAGAACTCTCTTTGGTGTGATTGGGAGCGCTGGCTTGGTGTTTACAAAATCCCTTAATTTCTGTTTAACCTAAAATGTTCTGATTCTGTGGTCATATTTAATTGACAGCTTTGCTGGTTATATGATTCTTGATTGGCAGTTTTTTCTCTCAGAGTTTTGTATATGTCTTCCCACTGTCGTTTTGTCTGCATGGTTTCTGCCAAGAAATCAGAGCTTACTCCTATTTTCTTTCCTTCATAGGTAACATTTCTTTCTTCTCTAGCTGCTTTCAGTATTCTTACCTTGTCTTTGATTTGGAGAGTTTGATTATGGTATGTCTTGGTGATTTTCTTTTGGGATCTATCCTATCTGGTATTTGTTCAGCATCTTGAATGCTTATCTTCCCATCTTTCAAGATGTTAGGGATATTTTCTTCCCCCAGCTCTTTGATTATCTCTTCTGTGGTTTTCTTTGATTCTTCCTGTTTTGGAACTTTAATCACCCATAGGTTATTCCTCTTCATGTTATTCCACATGAATCATAGGCTTCCTTCAGGTTTTTCATTCTTTTTTTCTGCTTGTTCTTCTATCTTAGCAGTATTGAGAGATTTATCTTTTAGCTCGCTGATTCTGGCTTCCCTCTGTTAAATTCTACTCCTTTGCCCTCTCAGTGTATTGTCCATTTTAATAGCACTCTTCTGAATTCCTTTTCAGTTCATTCCAAAGCCTGTTCTCCCTCCACTGCAAATTCTAGCTCTTCCTCCTAGTCGTTTATTTGCATTACTCTGTTTTGTTTCTGCATGTGAGCAAAAATGTTCTGTTTCTTTTCAGTCATTGTGGTGTTGTAGTTGTATTAATTAGATGAATGTATATTGGTGGATTCTTAAGGTCTCTCCAGTTGCTTCCTGGTAGATATGATCAGGCTTTTATTTTTATTGCTCTTACAGCTCAGTTCAGGGTGTTTTTAGTAGGTGTTGGCTATAGACGCTGCTCTGGTGTCTTGCAGCTGGTATTTACTCTTGCCCAGTTGGTGGGGTTTTATCGAATACGATTGTAGCTTGGGTGTATGGCCGCAATTGCTCTCTCATTGATTAAGGCAAGAAGAGAAAGAACTACCCCCAAGAGAGAAGGAAGACAAAACTAAAACAAAACCCAGACTAAATACGAAAGTCCAAAATCAGCAAAACCCAGTGGGGCAAAAAAGAAAAAACTGTGGGAAAATATGAGTACGAATGTAGCTCCACCATGTGTGTTGGAGTCCTGGCGTGGCACTGTGGGTTAATGCGCTGGACTGTAATGTCAGCTTGAACCATAAGGTCGGCAGTTTAATCTTACCAGCCGCTCCTTAGGAATCCTGTACAGGGTCACTATGGGTTGGAACAGAGGAACAGACTAGACGGCACTTAACAACAACAACAATGGCCTCTTACTTTCAAAGTCCCTTTGAAATTTCAAGATGTATCTGTGCTGCCTCATGCTGTAACTCAAGGGGTTTTTTTGGCTTTTTTTTTGCTTCTTCCTCTCAAGACTGTTCATCTGTTTCTCCTATTGAGAACCTGATTTCTTGACAGCCCCTTCCATGAGTGTTGATTGTGGATCAAAGTAAAATGAAATCCTTGACAACTTTAATCTTTTCTTCTTTGATCATGATGCTGCTTAGTCATCTAGGTGTGAGGATTTTTGTTTTTGTTTATTTCGATGTTTAGATATAATCTTTAGTAATGGTTATAGCATTTGATCTTCATCATCAGTAAGTGCTTAAAGTTTGCTTTCAGCAAGCAAAGCTGTCTCATCTGCATATTGCAAGATGTTAATGAACTGTACTCCAATCCTGAAGCTATATTCTTCATATAGTCCAGTTTCTCAGATTATTAACTCAGCAAATAGATGGAACAATATAACCCTGGTGCTCAGCTTTACTGATTTTAACCTATTCAGTATCCCCTTGTTTTGTTTGAACAGCCACCTTTTGGTCTATGTACAGGTTCTGAATGAATACAATGAAGTAAGTGTTCTGGAATTTCCATGTTTTGCAATGTTATCCTTAATTTGTTATGATCCATGCAGTCTCATACCTTAGCATTGTCAGTAAAACACAGGTAGCCATCTTTCTGCTGTTCTCTGCTTTTAGTCAGTATCCATCTGATCTCAGCAATGATATCACTCAGTTTACGTCGTCTTTTGAATCTAGCTTGTATTTCTCATAGTTCCTTGTTGATGTATTGCTGCAACCAATGTTGAATTATCTTCAGCAAAATTTTACTTGTGTGTGATAAAGATATTGTTTGATAATTTCTACATTCGTTGGCTCATCTTTCTTTGAAATGGGCATAAATCTCTTCCAGTAGATTGGCCAGGTAACTGTCGTCCACATTTCATAGCATAGATGAGTGAGCATTTTCAGTGTTCGATTTGTTTGTTGAAACATCTCAATTTACATTGTGTCAGTTGCTGTTGGTTGGTTGGTTATGTGCCATGGAGTCTGTTCTGACTCATGGCAACCCTGTACAGGGTTTCCGAGGCTGTAAATTTTTATGGGAGCAGAAAGCCTCATCTGTCTCCCGTGGAACAGCTGGTAGTTTCGAAGTTCCGACCTTAAGGTTAGCAGCCCAATTTGTAACCACTATGCTTTGCCATTGCTTTCAGTATAGCTTGGCCTTCTTCCTTCATTATCATTGTTTCTTGATCATATGGCTGCTCCTGAAATGGTTGATTGTTAACCAATTCTTTTTGATACAGTGACTCTGTATTCATTCCATCTTCTTTTGGCGTTTTTTGCATCATTCAACATTTTACCCATAAAATACTTCAACATTGCTACTTGAGGTTGAATTTTTTTCATCATGTCTTTCATCTTGAGATAGCCAACCATGTTCTTCCCTTTTGGTTTTCTAACTCTTGCACATTTCATTGAAATATTTTACTTTGTTCTCAAGTTGCCCTTTGAATTATTTGTTTCACCTCATTAATTTTATTAGTTCTTCCAGTTGCTATCACTTCTCTGTGTCCAAGAGCAAGTTTCAGAGTCTCTATTGGTCAGTTTTGGACATGACCTTTTTCTTTATCCATTTTAGTATGATACCCTTGATGTCATCCCACAGCTTGTCTGGTCTTTAGTAATTAGTATTTGTTGCATCAGATCTATTCTTGAGATGGTCTGTAAGAGCAGATGGGGTGACTTTCATGTACTTGTTTTAATTTTCTTCAGCTTCAACTTTAACTTGCATATGAGCAGTTGATGGTCTCTTCCACAGTTGGCCTCTGGTGACCTAGGTATTATATATAACCATGAAAGTGTTATAGCATTCTCTTCTTTTTTTTTTTCTCTTTTAGCTTTTTATTGTGAATTGAGTGAAGATTTATAGACCAGATCATCAGTTCCACATTCAACAAATCATACACTTTGTGTCATTAACATTGATTGCAGTCCACTCCATGTACCATCACTTAACAGTATTTATCACTATTAACTTTATTGTCCCACCACCACCCTGTAACCATTATAGAATGTTTCATTCTCTTTTTAATAATTGTTCTTATGTGCCATCAATTGGGTTACAACTCATAGCAATCCTTTGTAGGGTTTCCAAGGAGCAGCTGTTGAGTTTGAACTACCGACCTGTGGTTCAATCTGACCTTGCGGTCCAGTGCATTAGATTCTCTTTAATGAGTGAGCATTACTAAGATAGGTCTTAACTACGAAAATTGGAAGGAAAGGAGAATAAAGCAATCTCACTACCACAATAAACTTTATTTCGTCCTTCATTAATTAGGAGGATTTAGGCATTTTATTGGTGAATTTCAATACTACTTTGAAACTTGTGACCTTAAAGTCTAGTAGAGAAATGAGCTTTTTAGATTTTATGATAATTGACAGTGAATATCATTGTTCATAAATTAATTTGCAATCAACTTTAAATTAATTTGAATGGTACATTTCTGTCTCTATGCTGGGGGTTCCAAAAAATATGTGGAAAAATGGAATTAAAAGATAATGGAATTTTCCCATAAACATTTTGAAGTCCTAATATGTGTGCGCGTTGTTATTGTTAGGTGCCATCAAGCCGGTTCCAAGTCATATACTTGGACCCGAGTTTCCGAGGAGTGACTGGTAACTTTGAACCACCAGCCTTGTAGTTACCAGTCCTGTTCTAATCCTATAGAGCCACACCAGGACTCCATATATACATATGTGTGTGTGTGTGTGTGTGTGTATTTTTCTCTTCCAGAATCCATCCTTAAAATCCAAAGTTAATGATGGGGAAGGAGCAAGAGAGAGCAGTGATGCACAAGAATCAGAGGTCAGAGTCATTATATGATTGCTTGTGGGGCTTTAGTTAGTTTAATGTCTTTTCATTTTATTCAGATTCACTATATGATTGCTTATACAGCATTAGTTAGTTTAATGTCTTTAGCTGTGATTCTGTGTACTAAGCATTGCAACCCTGGATCAGTATTATAGTCCATATCTGAGAAAACCCGAGAGCTTGCATTTCAAGAAAAGCTGGTCTGCTCTGTATTGGAAACCTTGTGAAAGACCATTTGAGCTCTAGGTTGAAGTGAGGATGTTAAGTGGGGAGCGTTACAGAGAACTGGAAGGATGGTGGAGGATGCCTCCATAGCTTAAACGGGCAAAGTAAGGCTTTCGTAATGTCTTAGTTCTCATTTCTTGTCAGCCTTTTAACTAATGTGGAGCCCCCCACAGTTATGATCCACCTTAGTGGATGAGACAAGGCAGATAAGGAGGAAATAGCAATCATAGTCCCTGTCTATTCACCAAGGCTTCCCTTCAGATTTTCCTCCGTGAATCTGAATGAAAGCCATCAGTAGCTATGAAGATGGTATTATGGCACCTACTAGGTCTGCTAGAGAATGTGGTGAGTGTGATGGTTACCTGTACTCAATATATATGTCTAAGAATGATTCGTTTCCTTTACCCTACATTCTGTCTCAAATCTTAACTTTTGTTAACAAATACTTTAGTACTCATAATTATACCTAATGTTGTTTAACCTTGTTTTGTCCCTTGTTACTTTTACTTCCAGAGATGCGAAAGGGCAGTATCATTAGCAAAAATAAAGTCAAAGGCCTTTGCAGTTGTTGCTCAGGTAAGTTATGTACATAATGAAGAAATTACTTGGATGCTTTTTAAATTACATTTTTATTTTTCATTAACCTGACACATCCATATAATTTAAAAAGCAACAAAACACTATGTAACTTATAAAACTCAATAGTTCCCCTGTCTCATTCTTTCCCACTTCTATATTTTAATCTCCAGAGCATCACAACTTTGTGCTTTTTTTCTTTTAACTATTTCTACTGGTATTTATCTGTTTGTTTGTTTTTTAACTTTTTATTGTGAATTGAGTGATAGTTTACATGGGAGAACATCGATTTTACACTGATTGTTTCATTGCAATGATTACAGTACCCTCCGTGCATCATCATTCAACAGTATTTGCTTTTATTCCCTCTGGTTTTTTTGTGGGGGAAGGGAGTGTACACCAAAACACTCAGGAATATATAATCATTTAAACAACCAAAAGGCCCATTCTGCAAGCCTGCCTCCTGGCCGCCAGCACCCAGTCCCTTTCCGTGAGTCCAGAGTCCTCAGCTGCTCCATCTCTGCATGTCCTCATCTCTGCCTCCATCTCTGGTGTCGCTTCTCTGGATAGGGCCTCACATTCCACTTGTGGTCTTCTCACTTAATGGTCCTAGGATCCTGTTTCTGGGCTATAAGATTACTGCCGCATTTTTGTTACAAAACTTGAAGTTTTACAGTTTTGATGATTGCAATTACTCATGGTAACAGTTACTCACTATTGAATCATAAAAGTCTTAACCCCATCTCTTTTCACCAGACCCATCTAGACAAGATGAAAACTCTTCAGTGGGGAATCTACCTTAAACTAAACTCTCTTTTGAACATTTTTAAGCTAGTTACTTCATGCTTTTATCAATCACTCATTTTAGGTAGCCAGTGTCTTAAGTTGCCTGTCCGTATCAACCTTGTATATAAAAGGGATAGGATTGATACCTGATGTGAAGACTCTTTCCCTCTCAGTTGGTATTTTGAGCTACTACATCCCCAAGTATAGGTCAAGAGCAATTTACACTTGTTTCCTTTATCAGAAAGGAAACATCATCAAGCCATCAAGGCTAGCTCAGATGAGTAAGACGGTGCGATTTAAGCTGTCTTCATTTGGTGAAGTCAGCTCTCGGCCACTTTCCTAAACTTTTTGTCTTCCAAAAGTTTGGTACCTTGTTTACAGATTTTTGTTTCCAGTTTTAGTGGGTGTATGTGTTATTTTTGGTTGATTTCATTTTGGGGGGCCTCAAGAGGAAACACAGATAAGAAATGTATATTTAATCTGGCTTTCTTTCATTTTCATTAGAAATCTAAGATTGTCTTTATTCTGTGGGAAGTTAATTTTATTTTCTAGTTGTTAAAAAACAATTTGAAGTGACTGTAGGTTGGTTACAAAAGTTATTTGCTACAGCGGAATAAATGGAAGGTAAATATTGTGTGAAAATACTGAGGGCAGTACGTTAACTATTCCAAATTCTTTGTAACCAGAGCTCTCTTTCCATATTTCAGAATAGTAATTGATATTTAATGTTTCTCTTAAGATAGTCTGAAAATAATTTTTAAATCATAAAACAATTAAATTATGTAACCCATCAATTGTCATATAAATGTATTACTTTTTTTCTGTCTTTCATTATTGAAGTGCAATTGACATACAATGCATGGTAGTTCTTTTAAGAATTATTCATACCTGTACTGTATGTGGGAGCCCTGGTGGCACCGCTATCCCCAAGATCAATGGTTCAAACCCACCAACTGCTCTATGGGAGAAAGATGAGGTGGTTTGCAGCCATACAGATTTAAGGTCTTGGATTTGTATGTGATTATAAAACACAACCACTTTATAACTACACATCTCTGTCTAGAGAAAAAAAGAAATTAGAACCATATATATTTTTGTGAGCTACGATCTAGGAAAAAAGACCACAGCTGGAGTTGTGCAGACTTCTGTAAGTCAGTATTTTTATCACTTCCCTTTGCAAGAAAAATTTTAGGGGTGTGGGATTGTCTTCATTTCTTTATAGAGATCAATATTGTAATTTAAATATATAGCTTGTTGTTGTTGTTGAGTGCTGTTGAGTCGATTCCAACCCATAGTGACCCTGTATAGGGTTTCTAAGGAGCAGCTGGTGAGCTTGAACCGCCTACTTTGCAGTTCAAACGTCTTGGCAGTCTGGCTCATTAACCCACAGTGCCACACCAGGACTCCAAATATATAGCTAGATGATATAAATTAATATTATTAAAAATGTCATGATTCCAGACATTGCCTCACCTCCCTCACTAACAGAGCTTTTTTCAGGAATTGCAACTGATTTCATTATGTGTGCTTTTTTTTTTTTTTAACTAGGTATTTATTAAAGGCAGGTGTTACTGAAAGAAAAGAATAAAATTCCAATTCTTAATAGTAACCCTGTATGTCGTGTTTGTAGTTTAAAATTTAGAAATGATTTTAATCGAAACATTCTAGATATTTAATATATAGAAGTTAAATTTAACTAGAACAAAAATCATTTGGTTTTCATTCCAAACTTTACAAAGAATTAAGTGAGCAAAGCTTGTTGCAAATAGAATATGTCAAAATGTTTGTTGAGGCTTTGGAAACTGTATATTGGGTCACTATGAGCTGAAATTAACTAGATGGTAGGAATCTTTTTCTCTCCTGCATGTGCGGAGTCCTGATGGCACAGTGGTTAAAACACTCAGTTGCTAACCAAAAGGTCACTGGTTTGAACCTGTCAGCCACTCTGCAGGAAAAAGGTGTGGCAGCCTGCTTCCATAAAGATTTGTTGTTAATTGCTGTCAAGTTGGTTTTGATTCATAGTGTCTCTGTATCAGGTTTCCAAGGAGCAACTCATGAGTTTGAACTGCCGACCATATTGTTAGCAGTCCACACCAGGACTCCTCTATAAAGATTTACAGCCTTGGAAAGCTTGTGGACAGTTGTACTCTGTCTTGTAGGGTTGCTGTGAGTCCGAATTGATACTGAGTGAATGACTATGGGTTTGCCTATTGCATATATGACATTAGCTAAAAACTATCTCTAGGTAGTTTTTAGCTAATGTCATATTTTAAGTAAATAAGTAAATTCATTGATGAGTATAACTCAAATGTTCTTGGGTACCTGGCTCCAAGCCAACCTTACACGTGCCCAGCTCAGTGGAAAGATAAATGTTTCCTTCCTAATTGTGCAACAGATTTCTAAACTTGAGTTATTCAGATCATTTGCCTACCCTTGAGCATTTAAAGCATAATAACCATGGGGAGAGTTGTGCTGCATGACCATACCTGGAGCCAGGGATAATGCCTGAAACACATGGAGATGCCCAAGGAACATAAAGTGTTATTATTAGAAGAAGGGTGGATTTGGTTATTAGACAGTGAAAAACAGTGCTTGTCCTCTGTACCTCCATTCCTCAACCATTTCTGATAATGGAACAGCCACATTAAACCCAGTATGAGTAGACAGTGATGGCAGCTGCAGGAAACTTTTCATGTTATAATGGTCAAAGGAAGACTATACACGGGACATGTGATTGTATTAAGCAATCACCAGTATGTTAGTAGAGTACTTTATAACACATATTTTTGTAAATCTTTCATTCAGTCATGTATCTTGTCTTTCTCTAATTACTACATACATTTCTGTTACTTTGCTTATTTCAATTCATTTTCTGATTTGTGATGAACTGGATTTCTCACTCTTCAGGTATCCAAGTCCAGAAGGCACCGACAAGTCAGACTTGATTCTTCTGACTCTGATTCTGCATCTGGTCAAGGACAAAGCAAAGCAACTAAGAGGAAAAGAAACAAAGAAGCACTGAAATCAGAAGGGAAGAAGGTAGCTTCCAGAAACAAAGGTAGCTTCTTAACATCTTGCTGAGACTCAGGGCAAATGGGTCTTATTCATAACCTCCCCTCATCTTTGTTTTCCTTTTTTAAATGGTTGGGTACTTATTTTACTGAGAACCTTATGAGAGTAAATATTAAAAATAAATGCATATTCTCTGGTTCTTGGAACCTTATTGCTGAAAGGGAGGGACCCTAGGAGTCATCTGAAATTCATCATTTCATAGTTGATGAAATGAAGGCAAATGTGTATTAAAGAGTTTGTTCATAGTGATATAGGTAGATGGTTTATAGACTTAGCCTAGAATTAATCAGTGCATACTTTATTAGGCATTTTTACATGTGAGTCAAATTTATATGTAGAGTAAGGTATGGTAAGTAGTGTATTTCGTAAACCATATTTCCCTGTAACTGTCTGGTAGCGTAGTGGCTACAAATTGGGCTGTGAACTGCAGGGTCAGCAGTTCGAAACTACCAGCTGTTCTGCGGGAGAAAGATGAGGCTTTCTGCTCTCATAAAGATTTACAGCCTCAGAAACCTTGTACAGGGTTGCTATGAGTCGGAACCCACTCCACGATACTTAACAACAAAAACAATACTAATTTAGCTGTATATGCTGTTGTCTTCAGAAAGTATACCTGTAAAATTACCTTGAGCATTTGGTTCATAACTAATGACTGTATTTTAACCGTTTAATTTTTTTTAATTACACAAAAATATATATTCATCATACTTAAAGTTGGAAAATGATTAATAGGCTAGGCTCAAGGAAAATATTAGAAAGGTTGTTGTTGTTGTTGTTGTTATGTGCCATGGAGTCGGTTAGAAAGGTTAGTAAATATTTGATACTTAATCTTAAATTGTTGTTGTTAAGTGCCCTTGAGGCAGTTTCGACTCATACGACGCTGTATAGGGTTTCCAAGGAGCAGCTGGTGGGTTTGAACTGCCGACCTTGTGGTTCACAGTCCAGTGCTGATCCTATAGAGCCACAATAAGAGTACTAATCTATAGTAGGTAATAATATAATATTATTATAGTTGTTGTTGTTATGTGCCGTGGTTCCAATTTATAGCAACCCTGTACAGGGTTTCCGAGCCTGTAAATCTTTATGGGAACCAGATCTTTCTCCCGTGGAATAACTGGTAGTTTCAAACTGCTCACCCTGAGGTTAGCAGCCTGATTCGTAACCACTACACTATAGTATAATGTTATATATTGTCTAAAACTATTATATTATAACACATTATATATTATAATGTAATCTTATAATCTGTAGTAGGGGAGTCCTGTGTGGTGCTGTGGATTAATGTGCTGGATGAGAATGTCGGTTTGAACTGCAAGGTCAGTGGTTCAAGCCTACCAGTTGCTCCTTGGAAACCCTATACAAGGTCTTTATGTGTTGGAACTGACTCGGAAGCACTTAACAACAATCTGTAATAAGAGTCCTGGTGGCAGTTCTGGTGGCGCAGTATGATAAGCACTGGAAACCTACCAGCTGCTCCTTGGAAAACCCTATACAGGGTTATTATGAGTCAGAACTGACTCGACGGCACTTCACAACAATTTAACAATCTAGAATGCATTCCTAACTACTGTAGGAATATATGAAGATAAATTAAAGAGCCTTTTAACATGATTTGTTTTCATCTATATTGAGGTTGTGGTGGGAGAACTGATGTTAAATGCCTTTAATATATTCCACATATTAATTAAATCCCTTAACAGTTGCTTGAAGTACACAAAATTCAGAGGAGGAGGTACCACATTTTGTTAAGATCAAAAAATCATTCAGAAGGAGAATTTTCTTATTCTTTTTATAAAGCTAGCATGACATCATTCTGAGAAGTCATCCAACCAATTTCACTTATAAGTATTACTGAAAAAATCCTAAGTTATATCACAAAGAATCTCAAATACAGAACTCCTTGGCTGTGATGTGATTACCTAGAATGCAAGAATGGTGCACTCAAACCACTAAACTACTTACTGCAAGTTGTTCATCCCCAGCAGTGCTACTCAGAAACCCTAGACAGGGTCGCTGTGAGTCAACACTGACTTGACTGTACTTAGCAACACTGGAATCCCTAACTGCGAAGTGGGTGCTGTTCCTCAGACACCCTGTACATGGGCATTATGAGTTGGACTTGTCGGCACTTAGCGACAGTCATATAATTTACCTTATAAGTAGGCTCAAGGGGACATTCGATAAAAATCCAGCACTTCCTTCACTAGCCATATTTTATTACTTATTATAATTATGGCAGGGAGTGTGGTGACTCTTATCGGATAAGAACTAGACTGTGAACCTTAAGGTTGCCGATTCAAGTCCACCAGCCGCTCTACGTGAGAAAGATAAGGCTTTCTGCTCCAACAAACATTCCCAGCTTCGGGGGTAAAACAACCACAGAATATTTATGTAAAACATTGTTTCGCACACTCTGAAATTAACTTAAGGATAGAAGTTGGTATGTGCATTTCATGAAACAAAATGATAGATATTTTAGCACATTTGAGAATTCTTACTGCATTTATCATGGAGGATTTACTAGACACATAAAATTGAGGTCTTTGGTAAATTTCTAGTTACCAACTTTGTAGCTCATAAAGTTTGGTAGATACATTGAAACAGGTAATTTGCTATTCTGCATCTGAGTAAGAATCAGATCTCATTATTCAAAAGTTTACTTCCTTTGAAAAGAAGAGTCTTATAGCCCATAAAAGGCAAAAGACTTGGCAAAACCATTTGCAGCCCATATAATGTTAACATTTCTAATTTTAGAAGAACCAGGCCCACTGCATCTAGTTGGTTCCAACTCAGTGACTCTCTAGGATGGAATAGAACTGCCACATAGAGTTGCTCAGACTATAAATCTTTGTGGAAGCAACTGCCTCATCTTTCTCCCATGAGCAACTGGTGAGTTCAAACAGCTGACCTTTTGATAAGAAAAGGGCCATAGTAGAAAAATGGGCTTACGACATGAATAAGTAATTAAGAAACAAAATGCAAACCGTCAGTGTGACTGTTAAGATATATTTAATTAATAATTAAATGTAAATTAAAACGTGGTTTTGAATTCACTTATCACATTGGCAAAGATTAAAGATACTGAATATGTATTGAAAGTTCAAGTGTGGGGAGATAAGTTCTCTGAATTTCAGTGGAAGTATAAATCAGTGCATCCTTTTTAGAGAGCAGTTTGTAGTCATCTGTCAAAATTTTAGATGTGCAAATCATATCAGTTTAAGTTTTAGAAATTTATGGTAAATTCATAGGGACATTTATGCAGGATTATTTGGAATGGCAAAAATCTGTAAACAGCTCAAATATATGACATTGAAAGATTGGGTAAATAAAATTACTGTTAATCCATACAAGGGAATACTTTGCAGTCCTTAAAAAGCTTGAGAAAGCTCTCTATGTTGTTGTTAGGGGCCGTAGAGTCGGTTCCTCACTCATAGAGATCCTGTGCACAACAGAAGGAAACACTGCCCAGTCCTGTGCCAGCCTCAACAATTGTTATATTTGAGCCCATTGATAGAATGTTTAGTAGAAAAAGCTTTTTTTTTTTTTTTTTAAGAAGAAAATCTCTTGAGTATATTAACAGGTAACTCAGGAATAGTAACAGGTAACAGGAGCTCTGGTAGCGTAGTGGTTATGAATTGGGTTGTGAACCGCAAGATCAGCAGTTCGAAACTACCAGCTGTTCCGTGGGAGAAAGATGAGGCTTTCTGCTCCCATAAAGATTTACAGCCTTGGAAACCCTGTTCAGGGTCACTATGGGTCGGAACCGACTCGATGGCACTTAACAACAACAGGAATGGGTTCATGAACATTTTTCACTTACAAGTCCATACATTTCTATAATGTTTCCATTTTAGGTATGTGTTACTTTGTTGTTGTTAAGTGCCATCAAGTCGGCTCCGACCCATAGCGACCCTGTATAGGGTTACTAAGGAGCACCTTGCAGTTCAGACAGCTTTGCAGTCTGGCGCATTAATCCACAGTGCCACACCAGGACTCCATGTGTTACTTTAGTACTACGGAAAATCTGGTTTGTTTTTTTGTGTTTTTTTTAAAATCTGAAGTTTTTAAAAACTAAATATTAACAACAATTCTATAGTCTATGACATATAGACTAGCATGTCTGTACAATTTTTGACTAGAGAAATACGTCTTTTTTTAAGTTTTTGTTGTGAATTGAGTGATAGTTGATAGGGGAGAACATCAGTTTTACTCTCATCATTTCATTGCAATCATTACAGTCTCCTCCGTGCATCATCATTCAACAGGATTTGCCTCTATTCTTTCTGGGCTTTTTTTGTTTTGTTTTATTTTGTTTTTAGAAATATATCTTATAGAGCATACCTGATCATAAGAGAAGGTTTGTCTGCAAAATAAACATAACTTTTACCTTTAAAATTATATTTGCAATGAATTAATACAATAAAGGTGAAGTAACAAACGTTATCATTTCCTGATGTCTGCAGATATAACCCATTTGGTGTGTGATAGAGATTGAATAAGCTATTTGTGTTTGGCTAATTTTGTTTCTTCACATTTCTTCACTTTACTGGAAAAATTCGAGGTTCAAATTTTCAAACCAAAGATGCAAATATGTTAGTATTTCTTTTAAACAAGAAATTTATTCTAAAATGTATATTCTTGTGTGCCAATTTTTGTGTTTAGTGTAAATATCTAATTTTTGTTACAGTAATAATAGCATTTTGTAGTTGTGTAAAAAGTTTTTTTCAAAGGTTGTTATCCTTCATTTACGTATTTAGATAATAATGTAATGTTTCCAGGTGACATGCAGAATATAAATAAAGAAGATAATGCATCTTTACGTCTGAGTATGCCTGTAATTACAGAAGACGAAGGACAGAATGGACCAGTTAGTAAAAAGACAGGTATGGATGAGATTAGGTCAGACTCCTAAGGGAAGCCGGTGGAGAACAGAACAGTGTTTTGTGATGCTTTGTATTTGACAAATTGGACAACTTTAGTATTAATCATAGCAGTCATCATGACACTTCAAAGGGAATGGGAATACAATAAATGAATGGATGTGGAGGCAAAGCTGAGGGGAGAGGTTTTAGCGTTTTATTGTGATCAGTATACGAAGACCCCTGCTCATGGCAATGTCTAACATTCTCATCAAATGACAAGCCTTACCAAATATTTTGGGATATAAATTTTAAAGTAAAATACTTATTATAAAAAATATACGTACTTGACATTTAAGTAAATGTAGATTACTCACTTAGGGAAAGAAACCTATAGCTAAATGTTGTTATGTACCTTTGAGTTTGTTCCAACCCATAGCAACCATAGGGTTTCCAAGGAGCAGCTGGTGAGCTTGAACTGCTGACCTGTGGTTCAAGCCAACTTTGCAGTCCAGCTGCAAAGGACTCCATTATAAATTAATAATAGCATATTATAAACATAAAATAGTTATGCTTTTAATATTATAATTTTACTAATTTGTCTTCAGTAGTTATTAAACAGGGAGTCCTGGTGACCCAGTTGTTAAAACACTCCACTGCCAATCAAAAGGCCAGCAATTCAAACCCACCAGACACTCCGAGGGAGAAAGATGTGGCAGTTTGCCTTCAAAAAAGATTCATAGTCTTGGAAACCGTATGGGGCAGTTACTTCTTCTCTGTCATACAGGGTAGCTATAAGTTGGAATTGACTTGACAGCAGTGAAGTCCTTTTTTTTTTGGTCGGCGTTTCAGCTATTGTTGTTAAGTGTCATTGAGTTGATTCCGACCCATAGTGACCCTGTATAGCGTTTCCAAGGAGCAGCTGGTGAGCTTGATCTGCTGACCTTACAGATCAAACAGCTTTGCAGTCTGGCAATTAAACAGCAGTTTATTATCTGTAGTAATAACTATAGTCTTGCAGAAAATAAATTATATTTATCAAAGTAGGCATGTTGATAATTTATCAATAATAATAGGCATACTAAGAATAATACATGAATGTCCTTTTCATTTTGGCTTCTTATTCATTCAAAAAGCCTCTTAGGTAGCTACTGGGATATAAAGATATATGCTGTATTGGTTTGAATCATAGTAGTCTTAGATATGATCAGTACTGGGGCCTCTAACTGACCTAAGTAAATATTTACTGAATTAATAAGATTATATTGTGCCCTCAAAGACCTTGTAATTCATTGCCTTTAATACATAATGGTAAGGAGGAAAAAGGAACCACCAAAGCTTAGAGTGGAGTCAAAGAATTGACAGTGAAAAGGGAATATTTTGTTCCTTCAGAATTCAGAGTATTTCCGTGGCTTGCTTATGTCAACATAAAGAGTTCTTTTCACTTTGTTGGTGAGTTTTACCCTGTAGCTTTGCTCTTTATCTTGATGAAAGGCTTTCTTTGTGAGTTAACAAAAACACAGTACACCTTTATGGCTACCTGGCAAGTCACATTCCGGCTTGTGAGCTTTGAAAATGTAATTTTTATCAATCTCATCATTATATAGGCACGTAACTGAGAGAATTGTGCATTGCTCATCATCAGAGTATTATGGCCATGTCTTCCTCCTAGAGACAGCCGTTTTTAGCAATTTACTGATTGATTTATTTTGATACTTACTTCTGTGTCTGTAAATAACATGTTTATATGACTTCATATAATGTTTATGTTGTTGTTAAGTCCTGTCAAGTCGGTTCCCATTTATAGCAACCCTGTACAGGTTTTCTGAGGAGCAACTGATGGGTTTTAATTGCCGGCCTTGTGGTTTTCAGTCTAGTGCTTATCCGGCAGCTACATCAGGATTAATATTTCAATTCAGTGGTATGTTACTGTCCCTCGTTTTTGAGCAAAGGGTGGATTTAGCTTTCTTTAATATCTTTTTCACCTCCCACCCTAAACACACATGTCCTCTCTGCCTCCACCTTCCCAGTGTATTTATTTTAGTTACATTGTTGTTAAGTTGTTGTGTGCTGTTGAGTTGTACTGACTCATAGTGAGGGTTTCCTAGGAGTAGCTTATGGGTTTGAACTGCCAGCCTTGTGGTTAGCAGTATAGTGCATACCTTACAGTGCCACATCAGTACTCCTTAGTTACGTTAGTGTTTCACATTTACAGAACATTGTTGACAGACAACAAGAGGATCCTTGGTGTTACAGTGGGTTAAGTTTGGGGATGCTGACAAGGTCAAACCCACCAGCCATTCTTTGGAGAAAGATGAGGCTGTTTGCTTCTGGAAAGATTTAAGTCTCGGAAGCCCTAAAGAACAGTTCTACTCTGTCCTATGGAGTTGCTATGAGTCAGAATCGACTTGATGCCAGTAAATTAAAAACAGGGCCGTGTAGTATACTTAGGATTCAGTCTTCTGTCTGCATGCTTACTATTTTCATAGACAGTCAATGAGATTTTTTGTGTTTGTGATTCATTGGTTTATTCTATGTAGGTACTTACTACCGATTCATTCCCAAACTCTTCCTCAGTTGTTTAAGTCTCCTCTCAGTACCACATTCAAGCCCATCAAGTATTCTGTTAGGTCCATCTTCTTAAAAACAGTCTCTCCCAGACCTCTTGGACAGTTTGTTCTCTTGGTCTAGGTCATGTTTGCTGCTCTCATCTGTTTTTCTTCTTAATGTTTTCCTTTTCTTCTTCTTCTTTTTTTTTTTTTTGTCTTATTTTTTTGTGTGTAGCTTTTTCTAGATGGGCACTTATTAATGAGAGTTGCTTAAGGCAATTGTTGTGGTAGCCAGAAAGATGTAGGGTACTAGTGCTGATGTAGTACATTTCCAAGTGTAATTGATGTGAAATTGAAATCTTAGTAATTTATTCTCTCTCTCTCTCTCTCTCTCTCTCTCTCTCAGCACTGGCCAAGATACTTTTCATACCTGACAGCTGGGTCCCTAGTAATTATTGAGAAGATAAACCATATGAGACAATTTCAATTTAAGTAGGGTTTAGGATGACTAAGAGTCACATTGGGAAGTCTTAAACATTAATCTCATTTTGAAGGACAAGTTAATGTATGTGGTCCTGTTTAAGATTTCTTTGCTTTGAGGACATTTCTTATTTTGTTGTACCAGTTAAACATCTATGTAGCTTAGATGTATGTTTTTCAAACTATATTTTTAAGTACCATTTTTTAGTTCTAACAGACTTTTAAATTTTGTCTTTAGGGTTGACTGCATCTAAGAGGAAAAGAACACACTGAACAAAGAACCTGATATAGACTTTGAAATTTTGAGTTTTCTGGCAAAAGAAAAGATGAATATTTGGTGTATTGAACAGGAAGACTGCCAGTATTAAAAATAATTCTTCTAGGAAACTGTAGGTTATTTCTGTGAGACAGTATTAATAGTTTTAGAACAAAATTACAAAAAATTAGAGTAAGAATTTATTCTGAAATTTAATTGTAACATTTTCTTTCACAAAACCTGCATATAAAGATACTTTTTGGATTTAGAATGTAATAAAAAATGCCCTGTTAGCTGCAGATTGTTACTGTTTTCGGTAACTTTTTTATGATATTATCCTGACTTAGTACAGTTTGGTAATATCAACTATGCCATTTTATTTAAAAAATTTTTACTTGAAATATTGTTATTATATGTAAGTTGCTAACTGTTTTGTACCTGTAATCTGGATTTGTTCATAGTGTTTATTTGCTATTTTGGATGTTGTATGGTTTAGTGCAATAAAGGTTTTGCCTTATTTGTGTTATTTGATAACTTATTTATTAATTTAGGAAGTTGATAACTCAGTTTCTGTTTGTAATCAATTAAATATTCTGTAGTGTTGGTTCTGAAACTCCTTTTGGTCTAACGTGTATGCAAGACAGTATATGTATAGATATATGTATGTATGTGTGCTGTGTGCTCATATGTTACATGATTAAACAAGTTGTTGTCTAAGTGTAATAATTACATGCATCTTATTTCTAGTAAAACTTTTATGAGTAGTAGTATAAATTCAAGAAGCTCTGGTAGCGTAGTGGTTACAAATCGGGCTGCTAACCTCAAGGTCAGCAGTTCGAAACTACCAGCTGTTCCGTGGGAGAAAGATGAGCTCCCATAAAGATTTGTAGCCTCGGAAACCCTGTGCAGGGTCACTATGAGTCGGAACTGACACCATGGTACTTAACAACAACATAAATTCCAAAATGTGTTTCTAGAACAAAGTAGTTGGTACTAAGAAGAAAATTGTGTCGCTTCATGAATATGGTTTATGGTTTTTATGCCAGACATTTCAGTTGCGCTTGAGTGAACTGTGTTGTCTGAATGGCTGCCATGGCATGCCGTCTCCATATCTTTGGTTGGCTCACCCTATTAGACAGTTCATTATCCTCAGTGCTGTTTCCAACATTCCATTATCCAAGAAATGAAGTTTAGATGAAAAGTAAATCTGAATCTACATACAGATGTCCTGTGAGTGAAAATGTGTAAAATATGTATATATATATATATATACAGGGTCGCTATGGGTCAGAATCAACTTGACAGCACTTAACAACAACACTATATATATGTATACACACACACACACACACACACACATATATATATAATCTTCTAAGATCAATATAAAAATGCTAATCTGAACCAAGCTTGTATTTATTAGAATTCATGCTGTCTAATTAGCTACTAAAAGTGATTATTTCCCTTGACTACTTTGAATGTTTTTGCTGTTGTTAAGTGGCATTGAGTCTGTTCCAACTCATAGCAACCCTGTATCACATGGGGTGGGGAACCTTTTTTCTGCCAAGGGCCATTTGGCTATTTATAACATCATTCGTGGGCCATACAAAATTATCAACTTAAAAATTAGCCTGCTATATATTTGGTCAAACATTTCATTAACTCACCTCTAATGTGATGGCGGGAACTGTGGTTGCCTTGGCAGGGCCAGACCAAATGATTTTGTGGGCCTTATGTGTCCCACAGAGTCCTAGTGTGGCACCACATG